TTGTTATTGTGATTGTTGCCCACAACAGTGATACACCGTGGCTCTATCACCTGTTTATAAAGTAAAATGTATCCCTACAGAAATGAGTGGGCAGAAGCTTGGAGGAGGATGAGTAACAATTGGAATCCCACAGCAGCCTTAGAGCCCCCTGGCTCGCCTGGCTATGGGAGCTCCCCTCTTTCAGCCAGGCCGCTGTGTGACACAGCTGGGACATTGAGGTCAACACGGAAGAGATGTTCTCGCTCAATGGAGACGTTCGAATGGGTCAGCTGTAGGACCACGTTTGCTTGTTTGTTTTTTACACTAGAAACAACGGTTTTATTAACAACTTCGTTTAACTCACGGTCACATGGCGCCCTGAGACACGTGGGGCGCCTGGCGTTTTGTGCGAGCCGATTCCACAGTTTAGGGACCGCGGAGTTTTTAACCGACACAAATATACGTAAATAATAAGCCGTCCATACAAAATGTAAATTGCTTTAAAGTAGCGAATTAATTTATTAATTTGTGCCGATTTTGATACAGGCATGCATTGTCACCGGATCTGAGTAGGTGTGCACAATGTGGAATTGATTGGACAACGGGAAGTGGATGAAATATTGATTACAAGATTTGACCACGACAAACAGAGGAATCAAGTTCAGTAAAACCGTTGAAAAACATATTATCACTGTTGCTAGAAGAGTTGATGGTCAGCGCTCAAAAATAAGAGCGCAAGCCAAGGGAGAGAATGCTTCCGAGGACAATGGAGTGGTGAAATCAGCTCGTCTGCCTGCAGGCGCTAGGTGGAATAAAGCTAGCCTCCAATACTCTATGGAGATGCTGGGGGCACATCGTGAATCCTGAAATTCGTGACGAACGGGCGAAGCTTTGCTCCATGACCCGCAGAAAAAAATGTTTGCGTCAACGCGGCATGGATCGATCATAGCTAAACCATAACGCAAACTGGTCATCTTCACAGTGTATTTTGGCGAACCACTGAACAAAGACGGACATTGCTTTGCGTGCTTTCAGATACGCTTCTGCGGCCGTCTGGAACGCTCTTCCTTCCGATATTCGGAAGCCACTGGAGCTGCGCACTATTAAATCATCTAGATTTAATAATCATTTTCTTGAGAACCGCATTTTGTGTTCAGCTTGTTGTCCTTTCCGCGCACCTCCGATTAGCGCGGTTGGCTATGTAAGGTGCGAAAGAAGTTCAGCATACATACACACGTAGCTGATGATCACGATGAACGTTTTATTCAACATCCTACAACTGTCACTACCTTTGGTGGCTATGAGAACCCTATTTTCAAAGACCGAAACCTTTCAACTACAGAAATTGGAATATGCATCAACATGTAAACACCCGCTGTAGATTTATGTTTCAATGACTGTACCATTCATTTCAGCGACAATGATCTGCACTGATGCAAAAATGTTCTTATTTTGTGTGTTACAACATCACTACACAAATGTAATGCACATCGTATTTACAGGGACAGCAACACTCGTTGCTAACACCAACCTCAATGCGCCATCACATTGTCTGCAGGTGGGAAGCATAGTATCAGAACGAGGGTCATCTTCACACAGTGGTCGTTGATTGCTGTAATTCTTTCGGAGTTCTATTGTGGATTCCAGTGACTTAAAAAAAAACTGCATCATACTTTGCTTGTCAAAGTTATGCGTATGTTATAATGCATACGGTACAAAAGACGGACAGAGATAAGATATTGCCGCTTGAAATGCATTGCTACAGAAGGATACTGTAATCTAAACTGGACCCAACAAGCGAGCAATAAATTTTGATTTAAAGCTTTCATGACTGCAGTAATTCATATTCTTAGTTCTTTCGGTAAAGTCACGTTGAAGGGAAACAACAAAATAATAAAATATATAAAAACAATAATATTTTATTATTTTGTTGTTTCCCTTCAACGTGACTTTACCGAAAGAACTAAGAATAAGCGAGCAATACATAAGCAACAAATAAAAAGTTTGGACACAGAAGAAGACTTGATGATGCGGGCAGCGATGAGAAGTAAAAAGTGGCACTATTTGGACACACATGTAGGGTGGACGACAACAGGAAATGTTAAAAGTGTTTTGTCCATAAAAATGGACTGAGCCGGAAAGAGAGGAAGACCTAACAGAGACTGGCTTGACGGCGGCGACATAAGATAATCGGTGCCAGAAAGATGTGGCCACAGCTTGAGAATGTTGGCACAAGACAAAGGAAAGTGGAAATATATGCAGATGTGCAGTGGACACCTACGAGCTATCTGCACATGGACCATAATGATATTATTTGTGCGGGAACACGGACTTAGTAAATTTTGATTTAAAGCTTTCGTGACTGCAGTAATTCGTATCCTTAGCTCTTTCGGTAAAGTCACGTTGAAGGGAAACAATAAAATTGTTTTAAATATATTTTATTATTTTATTGTTTCCCTTCAACGTGACTTTACCGAAAGAGCTAAGAATACGGACTTAGTAGTTAAACCTGGAGTATGTTAAGGTGTTGTCAAATATATACTCTTTGGTTTTTTTCGGTAAAGTCACGTAGGTAAAAAAAATAAAATTTTAAATGTTTAAATGTTACATTTTTTATTTAATTTAAGTCACGTAGCTAAAAATAAAAGAAATTAAAAATGAAAAAACCAAAGAGCATGGATCCCTGCGGTCACGAAAACTTCAAATGTTGTCAAATGTCAGTTTATTTGCGTCTCCGGTATAATATGGTTTCATTGCCCTTATAACCTCTGGCAAAGTGATCGTTGTCAATGTGAAAGTTTCATAGTAATGCAAGTGAGTTCTGTAAAATTTGGAAAGCAACTCAATAACATCCGTGGGTAGCAGGGTGGTGCAGTGGTAACGCTCATGCCTCACAGCAAGAAGGGCCTGGGTTTAATTCTCCACTCGGGCATCTTTCTGAGTGGGGTTGGTACATCCACTCCCTGGTCTGCTCCCTCCCAACCTCCTTTGCCAGTGTCAGAATTTAATAATAGGTTTTCCCCTTTTTTCTGGCAACAAAACAGCTGTGTTCGGATGTTCAAACACCAAACTGACACCTTTTTGCAAGGAATCATGTCTGCATTAACCACAGATACTTGTGGTGAAAATACAAACCAAAAACTTGCTCTGACAGTATATATGCATTAAATTTCGATTTAAAGCTTTCGTGACTGCAAGGATTCATCTTCTTTTTTTAAATTATTTTATTCTCATTCTACGTGACTTTACCGAAAGAACCAAAGAAGATATATATGCATTGTCTATGAAACTGATTGGTCCACACCAGATACAGCTTTATTTAGTCTCAAACGGTGTTAGACCAGAGGACGCCCAAAGGCCTTTTTGCGTCCTCTGGTCAAACACCAAACAGTTTCATAGACAATGCATACATACTGTCAGAGCATGTTTTTGGTTTGTATTTTCACCACAAGTATCTGTGGTTAATGCAGACATGATTCCTTGCAAAAAGGTTTCACTGTGGTGTTTGAAAATCCTAACACCTGTTTCGTTGCCAGAAAAAAAGGGGAAAACCAATTCCTAAAAATATTCCCTGTAACTGTTACTGGCCAAACATCCCATTGCTGAAAAAATACCTGCAAATTACTCATTCGGGATTACACACAGCAGCAGCTGCAACAACATCACCCACTAGTACGGCAACTTGGCAGGACCCTGCTGAAAAAGTGGTCATGGGACTAATTTAAACTGTCATGGGTAAACAATTGTAACAATAATAATGAATACTGCTATGTTGAGATATTAAGACAAAACACAAAAGATGAGAGCGTATTACTCGCGTACTTGCTCAACCTTCCGGCTATGAGGTCATCAAGAAAGGCACTGTCCAGTCCACCCCATAGGATAAACAAATATGGTGAATTATACCAAGCGACTGACTGACCACGCATGCCCAGCAAAAGTGTACGGCTCAGGAGATGAATATATATACCACGATAACACATCGTATTAATGCTGCTAAAGCAAATCTTACAATCTCAAAGAGAATCACGAAATAAAAATGTGTTTCTCGCTGACAAAGACATTTGAATTTGTGTGGTGGTGGAAAACGTCCAAAACGGTGACTCGGTAGGGGGAGGTAAACACCCTTGCCTTGCGTGCTGCAACAATGCCCAATGGTTTGTATTATTATTATTATTGTTAAAAAGGAATGTCAATTGAAGGACTATTGGACGTCTGTGAAAAAGAGCTTCATAGCTCATCGGATTCCTTCAGGATAGATAAAGATTCTGATTCTGACGGGGGTATTTGTCAACATGTGTGTGTGTTTTTTTTTAAACTGAGGCACTTGGTGGAAACTCTCTTTCACGTCTATTTTCTTTTACATTTTTGCAGGATAATGCAAACATAAATGTATCCACAGCATAATGATTAAATGAAGGAATTCATTAATCATGCAACGCAAATTATACCCAATTATTTAATGGATAATGACACTGATTTCACGACAATGTCATCATCACACGAGCCATTATTCAGATGAATAGACCTACACTACACGTGAAAAATTGCCTCCATGTGGTTTCAGAAGTTTGAAAGGGGGCCAAGCCCCTGCAATTTAACACAAAAGAATGGCTTATTTTCAAAAGTAATTTATAGCACTCAGTACAGCTTCATTAAGAATATATATATTTTAAACATGAGCAATTGGCACAGATTTACCCCCCCTCCCCTCTCCCCCCATCTGTAAATAAATACCATCATGCTATTATATTTACTGCAAGCCAAAGGAAGAAAACTCTCCGGAGAGTACAACTATCACGGAGATGAATCAATGAGATCAGATCATTGTGCCAGCAGCTCGAGGCATTGCTCTTCGAGGATGGTCATTACTCGCGGAGGCCTTCAGCCAGCAGTGGATAGCGCATGACTTATGATATAGATGATGATGATTACTCTGGTGGTGGTGATGGTGACGATACGCATACACCGATGCGTCTTGGAAGTCGACTCGGCCACCCTGCCACTCGGTCACGTGTTACCTGTATTGCTCCAGAGAGCACAGCAAGTGTGGTTGCTATGGAGATCTTCTGCGACTCCAGCTCTTGGGGGTCGATTGCCGTGACATTAGAGGCAAACCGCTCAACCACGCCACCCGTCATCAGCGAAACAATGGCAAAGGTACCTGGAAAGGCCACACAAAAAAAATTGCCACGGTCATTTTTTTTTGTTACCGTACGGCTGAAATATTATATATATAGAAAAATCACAATAACAGGCAAATCTCGTATGGACGTTAACAAAGGTGTAAGATGATATGCATTATAAATGTCGATTTCAGTTTTACACAAGCAATGTTACGTTTTACTGAAAATATACACACTCTTTGGTTTTATTCGGTAAAGTCACAACACAAGTGGTAAAAAATAAAAGGTAAAAAATAAAATAACTAAAAAATCACGACGTTTCGGCCACAACACAAGTGGCCGAAACGTCGTGATTTTTTAGTTATTTTATTTTTTACCTTTTATTTTTTACCACTTGTGTTGTGGCCGAAACGTCGTGATTTTTTAGTTATTTTATTTTTTACCTACGTGACTTTACCGAATAAATAAAATAACTAAAAAATCACGACGTTTCGGCCACTTGTGTTGTGGCCGAAACGTCGTGATTTTTTAGTTATTTTATTTTTTACCTACCTGACTTTACCGAATAAAACCAAAGAGTATGGATCCTTGCAGTCACGAAAGCCTCAAATCTAGAATTGAAAATATAACAATTCATAGGGGCGCATTAATCCTCCGTATAAACAGCAAAGGAAACTGCCAACGTGAGGCTGAGATTTGCAAAGAGAGCGGGCTGGCCAGTTCATTAAAGCATCAGCAGTCGCAGCAGTGTTCCAACTATTTCATACATACGCGTGTTATAGCGGCTCAATGATGCGACTGCGAAGCAGAAGAAGATGATCGTCAAAGAGGAGCGTGCCTTTGGAGGCGTTTGAATAGCCCACGGTGCAAGGAATAAACAGTGCTTTTGGAGAGCGGGTAATTTCATAGGGAGAGGAGAGTTGTTAGATGGTTTGGAGGAAGACACTTTCAAAAAGACCTGCCTCATGACCTCAGACAAGCTGCGCGTTTGCCACGAGCTGTAAGTGAAAAGTTTGGAACCCGAGTGAGGTTTTATTTTTATTTAATCAGCACACCTACACAACATAAACTCCTTCCAATATGCAATTCCCTCTCGCGCTTTGTAAAGAAATGTGTCTGGAGTTTCTTAAATTTAAATAAATATATATTTCCCCCCATCATATTTCATTCTCTTGGCGCAACAATTGCATCCAAATAAGACAAAAGTTCTAAAAACAAAGCAAATGCGGATATGCAACATAAAAATATCCGCATTCATATACATAATGCATTGCATTGCAGACCTGTATTTTTTTTAAGCTGCAAAGGAAGCCTTAGGTATTTCCTGTAATAATATGTAAAGTTTAATGAAAAAGAATATCAAAGTAGTATGCCTTCAAAAACAAACAACATTGAAATCTTTATTCATGGTAAGAAAAATCTGAAGACATTCCTACACACACAAAACAGCGACGGGTAATGACTACTCATCAACAAAGATAATGGTTCTCATCAACCCACACTCCTTCATTACACCACCCTCACTCCTGTTACGCCTGTAATTGATTCACTAAGAGAATGCCTCCCATCCTTACACTCTGGAAATGCTAATAATGTTCACCCCTTTGTAGATTGGGGGAAAGGATGCGACGCGCATGCATCCTCATGCTTCAAGGCACGGAATCACACCGCCAAGTGCTGGGATCTACTGTCTCCAGTATGCCTTGTGGATGATGCAGCCTTGTCTCTGTCCCATATTCATGATATTCGCAGGACAGGTCTCTTCTCGATTAGTGCAGGCGCAGAATTCCCGGCTGCGCACTCTGCAATTAATGGCCACGAGACTATCAAGGATGGCATCACTGTGTTTGCATGTTCAAACGCTCGTGGAACGCATCACCCTTCGCCAACTTTAAATCATTCCCAATATTGCAATACACGGCGCATGAGGGACATCCGCAGATGCAAAGTTTACACTCGTTACAGTACGAGAAACCATAAAGTCTGTGCATGGATGGATGGTGCCAACTTCAGGAAACAATTTCATGAAAATATTGTATTTTCTCAAGAGAGAATTTAAGGTCTATCAAGAAGAACAAGACTTTAATAGATAATAAGTAATGTTTACATAGGCTTGCTAATGAGCACGTTTGAATGTATAATGCAAGCAAAAATTATGCAGTACAGGAAAAGTCCTCTAATCACAGCAAGAAAATTTGAAATTTTCTTGCTGTGGTTTTCACACCTGATGATGATTGCTTGCGTTGCAGTCGAAACGTCGTGAGAATTTTTATTGTTTTATATTTTTATTATTTTATTGTTTCCCTTCTACGTGACTTTACCGAAAGAACCAAGAATATAAAAGTTAACTCATTAATTTAAATATACTCATTGGTTTTGTTTTAACTTGTTGCCCTGTTGTTGTCTTGCCTTCGTATGTATCTCTATGTGCTTCGATGTGCTCTGTTTTCTGTTTGCCGTGGTCTGTGTCTCTGTTTCAGTTTTTTCCTCCGTCGCTGTCCTCGATGTTACGCATCCATGGCACTCCGCGTGTGTTCCCATTGTCTTCAACCCCTCCCCCCACCTCTGCAGCTTATTTCAGCACCGTTGCTATCCGCGTTGTTTGCTCGTCCATGTGCTCTCTCTGCGTAGGTTCCCATTGTCTTCAACCCCTCCCCCTGCCCCCACCTCTGCAGCTTATTTAAGTCTCTGTCCGTCATCCCTCCAGTCCTTTTTTTTGTCTCTTGGTGTGGTGTTACTCTGGTTGTCCATCTGTGCTGCCCAATATATCTTTCCCTGGATGTTCTTCCCTATGTATGTATCTCTGCTACCTTGTACCTCGTATTTGTTCACTCTGTCTACGCTGGTTTGTTCAACCCAGAGGATGAACACGAAATTTAGCAGTCTTCTGAAATTCGTGGTTAACCAGGTCGGTGTCTAACTGTGTTGTTGGCCTGACTGGTTTTGCATCACATTATTTTTCTTTGGTTTGTTGAGTTTCTCGTCTCTCATCTTCTTGTTATTGTATTTGTCTCCATACAGTTTAACGTTCTCTATGCGCTACGTACGTGATGTCCCCCTATGTGCTCCCCCACTATTTGTTTTACACCTGATGATGATCGCTTGGGTTGCGTTCGAAACGTCGTGATTTATTATTTTAATATAATTTTCTACATACGTGACTTTACCGAAAAAAAACCAATGAGTATAGTAATTTATGCAGTCACGAAAGCTTCAATTCTTCATTAATTTAAAATAAAATAAAACCCGACCGCGCCAAGAATCGATTCTTTAATTCACGCCAAGGAATCGAAGGTTGGAGATTTCTTTAGAAACGTCTTGAAGCGACGACGTGCAACAGAAGCATCCTGGATAAATCAGCAAATCTAATAAACACCGTATTACAACGCGGTGTGCTCGAATCCCAGTGTGATGCAAGTCAAACAATAACAACCATAAGATAAATTAAACATGTTTTCCAAATCACCAAAATACAGCTAAAAAAACAGTAATCATAGGAACTGTGATTCTCATTTAACAATAAACGATATAAATAACACGTACGACCAAACGAGCAGCCATAGCTGGCAGCATGACACTCCCAGTGTATGATGTGTGAGTGAGTCAGTGGTAGTGTGAGTGAGTGTATGATGTGTGAGTCATTATATTATGAGTGAGTGTATGATGAGTGAATTAGTGTATGATGAGTGAATGGGTCAGCATGTACTACTATAGTGAAAGCTGTAATCATAGCGGGAACCACCATAGTCGGTATGCACTGCTGTAGTCATAGCAGGATACCACCACAGCATGCACTGCTGTAATCATAGCAGGATACCACCACAGTCAGCATGCAATGCTGTAGTCATAGCAGGTACCACCACAGTCAGCATGCACTGCTGTAATCATAGCAGGATACCACCACAATCAGCATGCAATGCTGTAGTCATAGCAAGATACCACCACAGTCACCATGCACTGCTGTAATCATAGCAGGATACCACCACAGTCAGCATGCACTGCTGTAATCATAGCAGGATACCACCACAGTCAGCATGCACTGCTGTAATCATAGCAGGATACCACCACAGTCAGCATGCACTGCTGTAATCATAGCAGGATACCACCACAATCAGCATGCAATGCTGTAGTCATAGCAGGAAACCACCACAGTCAGCATGCAATGCTGTAGTCATAGCAGGTACCACCAGAGTCAGCATGCAATTCTGTAGTCATAGCAGGATACCACCACAGTCAGCATGCAATGCTGTAGTCATAGCAGGTACCACCACAGTCAGCATGCAATGCTGTAGTCATAGCAGGTACCACCACAGTCAGCATGCAATGCTGTAGTCATAGCAGGTACCACCACAGTCAGTATGCAATGCTGTCGTGAAAGCAGGTACCACCACAGTGGGTATGCGATGCTGTAGTTAAAGAAAGTACCACCACAGTCAGTATACACTGCTGTAAAGAAAGCAGGTACCACCACAGCAGTATGCACTGCTGTAATCATAGCAGGTACCACCACAGTCAGTATGCACTGCTGTAATAATAGCAGGTTCCACCACAGCAGTATGCAATGCTGTAGTGAAAGCAGGTACCACCACAATATGTACTGCTGCAATCATAGCAGGTACCACCTCAGTATGCAATGCTGTTATCATAGCAGGTACCACCACAGTCAGTATGCACTGCTGTTATCATAGCAGGTACCACCACAGTCAGTATGCACTGCTGTAATTGCAGGTACCACCACAGTCAGTATGCACAGCAGTAGTCATAGGATACCACCACAGTCAGTATCCACTGCTGTCATCATAGCAGGTATCACCAGTCAGTATCCACTGCTGTAATCATAGCAGGTATCACCAGTCAGTATGCACTGCTGTAATGATAGCACGTACCACCACAGTATGCACTGCTGTAGTGAAATCAGCTTCCACCACATTATGCACTGCTGTAATCATAGCAGGTACCACCACAGACAGCATGTACTGCTGTAGTGAAAACAGGTACCACCAAAGTCGGTATGCACTGCTGTAATCATAGCAGGTGCCACCACTGTCAGTATGCACTGCTGTAGTGATAGCAGGTACCACCTCAGTCGGTATGTACTGCTGTAGTGATAGTAGATACTGTTATCGAGTTGGTAGATACTAAAACAGTCAGTATATACCACTACAG